TTATTGTTCATTATTCCTCCTGCCAGTCTTCTGCAGAGCCAGCAGGGGATTAAAGAAGTGAACAATAGGCTACTCAGAGCCCTGAATCCCCACTGATTCCAAACTTACACGTCGTGTTTGGCTCGCCCTCGGATGGTTTCCCCCTTTGGAGCACCTTGGCTGGTGGAGGCTGGTTGTCTACATTTTGGAGGAGGACTGTGGAGCTCCTCTGCAGTTTGAGCTTCTCTCCTTGCTCACCTTATAAATTGGTGGGAAACATTTTGAAATCCCATCATTTCTCCTCCTCAGCCTCCTGCCTACTGCAAAAACCACCCCAAGACACCGGACAGCACTCCTGAGCCATCTGCATGAAGACAGTTGTTTACCTCCTCACACTCCTACCATGGGGCACAGCACCATGAGACTGCAGAGCCAAGCTGCCCTTGCAGGGAGCTCAGCTTTCTAAGCTCTTGTTGTTACAGACATAATAGATTGTTGCCTCACTCAAGAGGCTGGCGTTTGCTGATTAACTCCAGGATATGCATTCAATTCCCGTTTGCCTTGCTTTCAAGCTGAGAGGCTGTGGTTGCTGAGGCAGGATGCTAATCAATGCTGTACTAAACTTGCCAAGCAGACTATTAACTTAAGCAGATTGTTATTGTGGTGGGGGTTTTAAAAAAAATCAACTATTTGAACCCAGTTACATTAGTGGCAGTATCCTGGTAAGATCAGCAGCTCAGCCTGCAGCAACAAGTTGTCCCATCAACTTCTCTGAACCAGAATGAAGACATGGTGATAGAGACAACCTTCCTCAGTTCTGGCTCAAAAGCAAGAAAGCACTGACCAAACACAAGCAGAGGAAAGATCTGACTGCTCCTGCAGCCTTAAACACATCCCTGAAACAGGTGAGAAGAGAAAAGGCTCCAGCTGGAAAATCATGCAACTCCAGGTCTATAGCTCTGGCCTTGGTTAATCCAACTCCTTCTTGAGAAAAGCAGGCATAGGATACTGGCTGGACTGGACAGCATTTCTAGCCAAACATGCTGTAGCACAGTGCACACACCAAGCCAGCACAGATATTCAGCCACATTAGGATGCCAGCTGCAGAACAGCTGGATGCTCTAAATTAACACCAGTTTTGGCTAATTTCTGTACACACAGAGGAGGATGGAAAAGGCTTTGCACAGTCAGAGCACAGACACTACAATTGCATCCTCAAAAGCTTTAGGAAAAAAAAAAAAAAAAAAAAAAAAAATAAGAACACCAGAGGGAAATCCTCAAGTTAAACCCATGAGAGCACAACTTTTGTTGCTCCAGGGCCATTGTATCTGCTGTTGCACCTCGACACTGCAACACACTGATTCTCAAGAAGTTCCAGGAATAAAAGTCGTACAGACTTTGGAAAAAGTCTTAAGAACCAGACATGCTATTGTTAGGAGCATAGAAAGGGACAAATTGTAAAAGTCAGACTACATAAATGATTGCAATGGACAAAAATATCAAGCTGAAGAGGTTAGCAGAACAGACAGGATTTGAAATAAGTCTCCGCTTCATAAGTATGCTGGGAGCCTAGTTTGTGCCCAGCAGAGAACAAGCTTCTTACCAAATTTAACTCTTCATTCTGTCTTACTGCTTCAGAATATGAATCATCAAGCTTTTTCTGCAATTCAGTCAACAGATCTTTCAGCTGAAATGAAGTTTAGAGTTTTAGGATTTGTCTCCTTAGGATGCCCACTTTTCTTCTGCTCAGTTATTAGCGTGTTGCTCTACCCTAAGGTCACAAGCATATAAACTCCTCAGCCACAGGGGCTAAAGCATTAGATTAGTTTGCCAGCCAACTAGTAACCAAAAGCAAAAGAACAGTTGGGTCAATTATGTTTACCTCTCTGACTTCTGAAACATAAGTAGATCGTTCTATTTCTGCCTTTTCTAGTTCACTTTCCAAATGTTCTCTCTCTTTTTTAAGCTAGAAATAGAAAAACAGAGTTAAAACAGATGCTTTCAACACTTTCTCATAGTATCATTCAATATATAATTAGCTATAAATTTCTATCAAATATTCCATGATATCTAGAAAGCATTTCAAACCCAGTGATGGCACAGCACAGATTTAAAACTCTTACACTTCAAAAAGATAAAAAGAATCAAACCAAAGGCTGTCAACAATCAAACTGCTCAGTCTCACCAGGAAAGAGCCCCAGTGGGTGAGCACACAAGTACAAAACAGGACAATTTCCAGTACCCAGCTCCTCTGCTTCTTAAAAACACTGGCCAGAAGAGCCAGCTTAAACAGTAGCACAGGCTGCACTGCTTGCAGCAGAGAAGTCCTAGGAAGCCTAGACTTACAGAAGTCAAAAAATCACATTTAAGTAACAGAAAGCTTCAAAGACAAAAAAACACCTGCACGTACAGTTTCAACTTCTTTGATTTCCTCCTTTAACCTCTCTAGCTCATGCTCCAAAGAAACGACTGAAGAACGCATCTGCAGTTTTCAAGAAAGACATATACATCATTTAGTTGGGTTGGTCCAAGATAAATTCTTCATAGACAAAAACTTGCTTCTAGATAACTTCTAAAGGCCACTTCCAACCCAGAACACTATGATTCTACAGTTTAAAAATATTAAGGATACAACCACAGTGATATTCAATCAAGATGCTCACTTGTTCAGAGATTATTATTGAGATTTGGAATGTAAGGACAAAGCCAGTTGTCCATTGGCCATGGTAAAGGAAATATCTTTCCTAGACAAGGAAGACTGTCTCCATCCATGTATGATGCATACCCAAATTCAGCATATTTAGCCTCCTAAGAGGCTGAGGAAGTACAGCAGATGGTAGCATGTCTATGGTTCAAGATCTGACAGCCTTCTATAAGCCCCTCAAACAAGATGCTTATAAACCATATATCTGTTTGCTCCAGACTCATACTCTGGCAATCAAACTTACTAAGCAGATGTACTTTAGAAATCATTTATTTCAAAAAAAAAAAAAAAAAAAACAAACACCACTACTTTAATTCTAGATTAGTAAAGAAACATAAAAGGCCTTTTTCTTACAACTTTTGCTAGCAACAGAGCCTTCCTAAAAAGGAAAGCTTTGCAGGGAATTTCAAGTGTAATTAGTTGACCATAATGGATTAAGCAGTATTTTAACAGCTTCCAAAAAATCATTACGATTACATGATACTTAAATCTTAGCACAAAGAGTCTGTATCTCTTTACAAATGGACTTTGGAAAAAAAAAAAAAAAAAAAAAACACAGAACATGTGCTTAACAGAAATACAGCCCAAGCTGCCAGAGTCAAAAAAAATATACATCCCTGGGCACATTAATGGGACACATGTACATCCCTGAATTTTGGCTTCCTATCCTGCCAGCATCAATATTACCACGTGCTGTTTGGCTGCCTCCTGCATCAGCTGCCAAAAACGAACACAGACTTGTCATGATGGTCAAAGACCTTATTCCTGTTATTGCAT